CCTTACCATTGCTGAGGCTGGCCTTAAACTCTTGATTCTCCTGTCGCARCCTCCCGGAGCCGTTGGGATTACGGGCTTATACCACTGCATTTTTGTGCCCTCAATTGTTAGACCTCAACTTTGCATGGTGCAGTAGTTACTAAATACAAAGTGAATATTATTTTGTCTTCACCTCAACCTGTCTCATCCCACCTCCTTCCCACTCTGTCAGAGGCCTTGCCTTATGGCTGTTCCTCCCCAGCCTTATATCTCCTGTCTCTCCTTCACTGGCTTAGGGATGATGATGAAATGGAGGAAAACCTGGTTTGGGATGTGGGGAGTGATGGATTCACATGTGGCCATGCTCAGTCTGAGAAATCTGTGAGCCATCCAGGGAAAGGTGTCCAAGTACAGTTGGATATACTGGACTGAGAGGAAAGGGTGTTCCAAGCAAGAACACCTGTGAGGCCTCATTGTACAGTGGCTAAGTCTTGGACAGGAATTCCAATCTAGTCTAGCTCTACCTCTTACTGGCTGGGTAAGTCTGGGTAAGGTCCTGYTCTGGCTGAATCTTAATTATTCAAACCAGAGATAATTCAATTTGGATTAGAGTGCTGGCAGAGAGGATGGAGAATATAGGCAGAAATATGATTTACTGTGGAAACAACCAGCAGGACTCGATGATGTATCACAAYAGTCTAGTTCAAATGTTACCTTCCCAGAGAGGCCCTCCATGACCACCCTATCTAAAAGTAGACCTCCCCTACACCTAGATGTTCATTCTTCATCTCATTTCATATTCATTTATATCCTGGTTTCATTTTATTGATGTGATATAAAATAAGTTGGATTCTAAAAGAATCCAACTTATTTTATTTCCTTAGATGATTGTTAACTGCCTTCTCCTGCTATCTCTTTGTCCTGCTGTTGAGACCTAAGGGAGAAGGCTGTCAAGTATGATTCCCAAGTGGGTGGATACTAGTGCCATTCAGTGAGATGGGGAACGGATTTGGGGGCAGAAAATGGAATGAGTTTTGCTCAGGGGTACCAATTTGATGTGATGTACCTATGGGGCATTCTGAAAGATCCATCAGTAAGTGACATCTATAGACACACTAGAAAGAAAACACAGAGTGAAAAAACATGTAGGCTACAGCTCTGAGAAACAGAAGGATTTGAAAGGCTAAGAGAAGTCACCAAGAACCAAAGTTGTTTCAGGGAAGGATAGGATCTCATGGGCAGAAAAGACCTATAGAATCCCATTTAGCATTTATTTGACATGAGGACTGAGTGGGTAACCATGGCTGGACCCAAGCATACATCTAGAGCCAACCCTAGGAGACAAGAGAGCTCATACATATGGCTCAGAGTAGGTGGGCAGCATCGGCCTATGTCCAAATGGTGTAGCTCACCTTATTGAACCTGGCGAAAGGGTAGTCCTTGCCTTCCTCTGCTGCCCGTCGCCAGTGGAAAAACATAGCTCCATCCTTTCGGGCTGGGTTAGTGAATGGCATCCACTTCCAGGGTCGCACCTTCTTGGAGCCCAACTTGGCTTTCACTGTGCGGTAGCCCTGACCAGTGTCACTGGGTAACAGTGGGGGTGCATCCCTGGCAGTAGGATTTAGGGAGGTGTAAGGTTAGAATCAGAAGGGCTCTAGGAGCTGATTTACCCTTGAGCAAGGAAGTCATGTCCTAGAGCAAGACATCTGAGGTCCTCTCATTCCTGCTCAGCAAGCAGGAGCCCTGGCTGAAGAGGGAAGGTAAGGAGAGAACTGGAAGAAAAAAACCAGGAGTCAGGGACATGGTGGTTAGGTCAGGGGCCAGAGAATGGGAATTTGGGATTCCAAATACTTGCTTCTTATCAGAGTAGAGCAGGGCATAAACTTCCCGGTGCATGCCCTCAGGCCTCTTGAAGGTTAGTGTCTCAGAGGACTTCTTGGACTTTTTCTGAAGAAGAAAACAAGGAAGGAACCACAACCTAGACCTCCTTTCCCTAAATTCTTTAGCTCAGCACAATTCCTGAACATACCATCACAAGAACAGTTACATATATACTAACATTATGATGACACACTTTAAAGGCACAGAAATCCACTTTCTGGAGTATACCCAGTCTGAGCAGATCATTCCCCTTTCCTCCCTCATCTAATAGAGCCTTGATATGTGAAAATTGAAGATCCTCTCCCCATCTCTCAGACTAATAACACAACATCTTGGTCTCCACTCCCAATAATTTTCTCTCTTTTGTCCTCTCATCTCTTGGAGGTGCCCCACTCTCTCGGTCCCCTCCACTCCCACAGTGTCCCACCTCTCCATCATCCATCTTACGGAGGATGATACTTTCTCTGTACCACAATGTCACACCTTTCTATCGTGCATCTCACTAGAAGTGTACCACTCCACCACCTCTCTCGTCGTCACCCCCTCACTCCTCATTACCCCCTTGCTTTCTGATACACCTGTTACCTTGTCCGGGTTGATAATGTCTTTCTTGCTGATGGTCCCGGAGGCTGCATCACCCTCTGGACCCCCGAGTTCTAGAATATCCCGTACATCAGCGCCCGTAGCCATCACGCCTGAGAGATTGGGGGAGCACCCCCTACGTCAAGGGTCAGTGCCTGAAAGACCACGTTCAGGCCAGGGGGCGGGTCCACTCCTGACCCGAGTGGGGGCGGGGTGAAGAGGAGGGCGGCAAGGAAAGCGGTCCCAGTCAGGTCGGGGTTCTGCGTATGTCCCGTTGCTTGGGTGTCCGTAACAGCCTCATTCACCTCCTTGTTYCTCACCCTGCTCCTCCACACCTGGATCTGCCAGCTGCGTTTCCCTGCGCCGCTCCCCTAACACCGCAAAGCCTCGGGCAGAAACTTCCGGTTGTGCACGTTTGAAACACAGCCGACAGAAACACTTCCGGTCTGTGCTTGGAGGAAACAGAGCCGGCTAGCAATCCAGTGTGAAAGCTACTAACCGCGCGGAGTTTATCATAGTCCTGTCCTCCCGCGACTCCACTCAAGATGGTACGCCGCCTGCTTTCCGGCGTTTGCCTTCTGTGTTGCTCCATTGCATCTCGCGGAGTGGGAAAAAAAGAAAAAGAAAAGCTCACAGCCTTGTGACATTAGGAAGTCAATTTATCTTAACCTGTTTCCTTTTTTTTTTTTCTTTTCTGTTTTTCCTTTTTTTTTGGGGGGGGGGCGGGGGGCGGTAACCAGGGATTGAACTCAAGGGCACTCGACCTCTGAGCCACATCTCCAGCCCTATTTTGTATTTTATTTAGAGGCAGGGTTTCACTGAGTTGCTTAGCCCCTCGCCATTGCTGAAATTGGCTTTGAACTCGCTATCCTCCTGCCTCAGCCTCCCAGCCACTGGGATTACAGGCGTTCGCTACTGCGCCTGGTTTAACCTGTTTCTTAATTTACAAAATGAAAATTGTAGTAATACCCGCCTAAGTGAAATACTAATAATCCATGTAAAACATCAGCTCAGTGCCTGGGACATTTTTAATTAAATGAATTAGTGATAGTAATTACCTTTGTTTATTAAATATTAACGTGTACCTGTGTTATTAAATATTAACGTGTACCTGTGTTAAATTTGGCATCGAAGAGATAAACTAGACAGGCCAAGCAGCCCTGGGTGGCTACCAAGATGGAGTCTGGACCTTTTCTTGCACCTCCTATGATGGAATTGGCTTTGAATTTGGGACCTCTGGGGCTTTTCTTGAACCCAGATTCCTGGAACTTCCCCAGTCCGGGAGCTAGCTGCACTATTTTGAGTTTCAAAGAGGCTCAAAACGCAGCTTAAAGTAGGGAGCTACTGGAAGAAATCTGCTGACATCCCTGGAGAAAGAAACAGGAGGTCCTGAGGAAGAGCAGAAGTGACAGAGGAAGCAGCTCCCAGCTTCAACCTCTGCAAATCACCTGCCAACATGGAGGATACATGGGCAATTAGTGTGGGGCATAAATTGGGGCTTGTTAAGGCATTGAGGATGATTAAGGACAGACCATAAGCTAAGACCTGCCAAAGATCCCCACAAGAACTAGAGAATCTATACAAGTTAGATATAAATGTTGCATCCTATCATCTGAACAGGAGAAGGGGATACAACCACTGCAGCTCAAGCCCAAAACTCTGGAGAACTATGCCTGGAAGTACAAACCTTGTCCTGTTCCTGACTGATTCCTGGCTGGATCTACTGAATTCCAGTTTCTGGGGGGAACCTAGGTCTTGCAGCAAAAATTGCCCTCAGGGTAAAAGAATGGTCCTTGGAGCCAGAAGTAAAGCACTGGGAATGAGACCTGTGCCTCTGCCTTAAGCACTTGGCCTTACTTATAGTTAATTAATTGTGTCAGTATTTGTTTAATTAATTATGTAAGACAGTGATGCTAATATGTAAATTAGTATGTGTGCCAGGCACATTTCTTGGACTTGGGGATGCAATAGGTGAATGAGATAGAAATATTTCCTGTGGAGGTTTTATTTTGTGGGCAAAGAGAAACACTGAGCATATAAACAATAAAATCCATTATGTAACTTTTGATCGTGACAAGAGCTGTGAAGGAAATAAAAGAGTAATAGCATGGAATAGTGTGGTCAGGGAATGTTTCTCCAGGGAGTCAAAAATCTGAACTAGGATTGAAACAATAGAAATAGCCATGATATCTGGAGAAGGAATGTTTCAGGCAGGAAGAAAAGCAAGTGCAAATTTCCTAAAACAGAAGGTGCCCTATTTTTTTAAGGGAAATAGATAAAGAAGGTGTTATGGTTTGGATCTTAAATGTCCCCACAAAGGCCCATATGGTAAAGTCTTTGTCCCTAGCCTTATTGGAAGGTGATAGAAACTTCAGGAGGTGGGACCTACTGGAAGGAAATTAGGTCATTGGGAACRTGCCCTTGAAGGRAATATTTGGATCCTAGCCCCYTTCCGCACCCTGTCTCTCCCTGCTCCTCCTCTCTGCTTTCTGTTGTCATGAAATAAAAGGCCTCCTCCATCACCCATTCCTACCACGATGTTCTACCACAGGCTCAAAATCAATAAGGCAAATCAACCAGGGGCTGAAACTGTGATCCAAAATGAACTTTTCCTCCTTTAAGTTGTTTATCTCAGGATTTTGTCACATCAATGGAAACCTGACTAACACCCAATATGGTGCGTCTTTCGAGAGAAGGAGGAGCACAGGAAGAGCTGAGATCAGAGGTAGGCATTGTGGGCCATGGCAGGGAGTTAAGTTTTACTGTAAGGACCATATGGCAGCCTCCCTTCTCTTCACCAAGACTACAAGCTCCTTAAGGATGGCACTGGGTCTCATCTTCTGAACCTGAACTATTTCTCAGAGCTTGTTTCTTCATTTGAAAAATGGAAAGTGTGTGGGCTGGGGTTGTGGCTCAGTGGCAGAGCACTTGCCTAGCACATGTGAGGCACTGGGTTCCATCCTCAGCACCACATAAAAAAAATAAGTAAATAAAATAAAGTTTAAAAAGAATTCTGTTTTTTTTTTTTTTTTTAAAGTGAAAGTGTGCCCTATTCGGAGAAGCTCCTCAGAAAGACACTATGGGGAAAGGGAGGCAGTCATACATGGAGTAATGGAGATCTGATTTGAACTTTATCAGGTTAGTAATAGAGCACATTTCCACACTAATAAGATAAGGACAAATGTTCCAATTTTTTAAATGCGCCAAGAGCATTAGAGGAAGTTGTAGAAATAGTACAATAGCTAATGAATATATGGGTAAGTGTTCCGCCTCACTAGTAATCAAAGAAATTAAGATTTTAAAACCACAAAGGGGTACTATTTTGTTGTCTGTCAGATAGGTAAAACTTTYAAATAACTGCAATACCCATTCTTGTCCAAGATATAGATGAAATAGACATTAGCATATACTGTTGGTAGAAATGTGTTTTCATTTTTATTCATAAATTCATTCAACAAATATTTGTTTGGTACTTATTGTATGCYATTTACATATATACTCTCATATACCAGGCACTATACTAGGCCTTAGATATGTAGCAGTAAAGAAGGCAAACTTCATTGCTGCCTTCAGAGAGTTTATGTTCTCTCCCTTTTATAAGTGTGTCTATGTAGAGAAAAAAAATCGGAAAAGAGAAGCCAAAATTATACCATTGGTAGTTTCTATTTAGGCAATTTATATATTCTCCCTTTTGCCTATAGGTATTTTCTATATGTCTTATAATGAATATGTATTTCTTTTATAATAAAAGGAAAGAAGGAAGGAAAAGGGAGAAGGAAGACAGACCCCGCAGGGCTGTGGAGCATGGACTGGGCYGCAGTGAGGAGACCAGAACTCTCTGGAAGACATTTGGGAAACGACTAAGGCAAGGTGGATTCCATCATGTCATCTGCAAATACTAAAGTAAGCCTAAACACTTATTTCTTCTTCTTTTAACACTGGCCAGGGTCACAGAAATAGGTCAAACAGCAGCTGTGGTAGTGGGCATCCTTGTCTTATTCCTGATTTTAAAGGGAGTGTACTTAAAGTTTATCTTTCTTTTTGCTTTTTTTTTCCCTGCATCTTTTCTTTTTGACTGGAAATTGAACCCAGGGACACTCTACCACTGAGTCACATCGCCAGTCCTATCTATCTATCTATCTATCTATCTATCTATCTATCTATTTATTTATTTATTTATGCCAGCGATTGAACTCAGGGACACTTGGCCACTGAACCACATCCCCAAGCCCTATTTTGTATTTTATTTAGAGAAAGGGTCTCACTGAGTTGCTTAGCTCCTCACCATTGMTGAGGCTGGCTTTGAACTCAGATCCTCCTGCCTCAGCCTCCTGAGCTGCTAGGATTATAGGCGTGTACCGCCACACCCAGCCCTTTTTATTTCTTTATTTCAAGATAGGGTCTCACTACATTGCCAAAGCTGGCCTCAAACTTGTGATCCTCCTGCCTGGGCCTCCAAAGCTTCTGGGATTACAGGTGTATGCTATCACAATCAACTCTCAGTTTTCTAATAATTGTTTATCCTCTAGTCATAAATAGGTGATAAGCTAGCAAAATTTTTTATTAATTGATATATTCATATGAATTATCTCCTTTAGTCTATTAATGAAGTGAGTTGACAGATTTTCTGATGTTACATTCACAGAATAAAATCCATCTGATCACAATGCATCTTGGCTTCAGGTAGCCAATATTTTATTTAGAATTTTTAAATAACCTATTCATAAGTGAAATGGACTTATACTTTCATTTACTTATAACTATCTTTATCTAATTTTAGATTCAAGATTATGCTATTTAGCCAAGCACAGTGGTACACTCTCTTCATCTAAAAAACCAAAACTTTTTTTGTTTTGGTTTTTTAGATGAAGAGAGTCTTTGTCACTTCAATTTCTTTAATATTTATTGTCCTAGTTCCTCTTCATTTCAATATTGGTAGTTTGCATTTTCCCCGAAAGTATGGCTAAAGTAAAAAAAAAAAAAACTGACAATACCAAATTTTGGTGAAGATATGGTGCAGCATAACTCCTCTATATTAGTGATGGAAATTAAATTATTATGACCACATAGGAACATCATTTGACATTATTTACTAAAGTTAAATATACATAAACCTGCTGTCACAGCAGTTCTGCTCCTGGGTAAGTTCTCAAGAGAAATGCTCATGTTCACCAAAGACATAAACAAAACATCAGAATGGTATTATTCATAGTTGTTMCAAGCTGAAAATATTCAAAAGTCTCTTGCCTGGTAAGGTGGTACAGGCCTGTAATCTCAGGTCCTTCAGAGGCTGAGGGTAGAGGATCACAATTCAAGGCCAGCCTCAGCAACTTAGAGAAACCCTGTCTCAAAAAACAAAAAGGGGAGCTGGGACTGTAGCTCATGTGAGGCACTGGGTTTGATCCTCAGCACACATATAAATAAATAAATAAATAAATAAATAAAGGTATTGTGTCTATCTACAACAAAAACAAAAACAAAACAAAAAGGGCTAGGATGTGGTTCAGTGGTAGAGTGTCTCTGAGTTCAATCCCTGTACTCCCCAGCCCTTGAACCCAAAACCAAGTGCCATACTGACTCGTCCTAAATCCCAGATAATGAAAACTTAAGCCTTTCCAATTTGATTACTGACTCCCTAACAAAGACAACTTTATTCCTGACTTTTGCAGTGCTGACTTCTGACAACATATGATCTTTAGATAGGATAAGTATTCGAGAAAATTGCTGTTTCTCCACCACAAACAAATGGGTAACTTTGTCTGTCTTGTTCATCTTGTATTTTCACTTGATGAGCCAGTCCTTCTAGTCTGATTTCCCTTATAAACTTCTTTGTTAAAGGGAATGCTTTTGCTTTCCGAACTAACTTAATAAATATGTACTAAAGTAAGAGAGAGGGTGCTACACCTTGTACCACCCACCATGAAGAAAGAGTTGCAAAGGTTGGTGGGTATCTTTGGGCTTGGAGGCTGTACAGTACCTTTGTTCATGCTCTGCATTTTTATCCAGTGACTGGTAAGTTTTGAAAGGGACTTGGYTCCAAAGGAGCTCTATGGGAGGTCTAGGTTAGAATGTAAGCTGTGTTCCTAGTTGGGCCTGGTTATGGAACACATCCAATGATGCTGAAAGTATTTTGTCGCAAAGATATAATATTTGTCTTCTTCTGACCCAATAAGAGAATYATAGCACAGACACCCAGGGTTCTGGAAGAAGTCCTTAATCTCACCTGCAAACAATTGCCACCTTTGGAAAACCAGCTTCTGGCTGACAACTGGGCTCTGGTAGAAGCTGATCGCCTGACTATGAAACCCTAATGGGAACTGCCCAGCATGAACTGAAAATTATCCAATCCAYTGAACCATAAAGTTGGAGATGCAAGTCAGCATTCCATTATAAAATTTAAGGAGTTTATTCTTTATTCTTTATAAATATTTAAAGCTGTAAATTTCACTGCTTTAGCTGCACCTTGCAAATTTTACATTTTGTTATCATTCTAATTTCCCTTATGATTGCTTTGGCCAATGATTATTTGGAAGTATGTTGCTTAATTTCCAAATATTTGAGTTTTCTAGATATCTTATGATTATTGGTATTTAATTTAATTCCACTATAGTCAGAGAATTTATTCCATATGATTTAAATCCTTTTAACTTTATTGAAACTTGTTTTATGGCCTAGCATATGGTCCATTAGTGAACATAGCACATGTACTTGGGGGGAAAAAGCGTATCCTGCAATTGTTTGGCATGAGGTTCTATAAATGTCAATTAGGTCAATATGATTGACAGTAGTTCATATCATTTATGTCTTGATTATTTTTTTTCCTACTATTCCATTGATTGCAAAGAAGGGTGTTAAAATCTCCAACTATAATTGTAGAATTGTCTATGTCTTTTTAAAATTTTATCCATTTTTGCTTGACATATTTTGAAGCTCTATTACTAGGAAAATATACATTTATAATTGTTATGTTTTCCAGGTGAATGGACCTTTGTATCATTACAAAATATCCATATTTATCTCTGATAATAATCTTTATATTGACATGTACTTTATCTGATATTATAACCACTCCAGACTTTGTAAGCTTACTGTTTGCACAGTAGACCTTTTTTTCCTCCATTTTTCCCCAACTTACTTGTATGTTTATACTCAAAGTAGTTATTTGAGTTTGGCTCTTTTTGTTCATTTGAACCATCTCTGTCATTTAAGCCCATAGGGGTTGGTTGAGGGATAAGCAGGAAAGGAGAACATYGTGGTCCTGGTCTCATTTGTACCCTTTCTACTTGATGACAAATTGCTATAAGACACTAGAGACTTTGTGCCAGATCAAATAGTTTTCAGGTTATGACAGACAGGTTAAGTTTCAAGATCATGTGGTAGTCCCCTGGACATTTAGTCTATGTGAGGGCCCAGGAGCAAGATGAAGTTGTTTCTCAAAAGGAGTTCAGCAATTTGCTAAAGACGACATGGCTTTCTTCACATATTCTAGTGACTTCTTCTGCAGTCTTCCTATACTTCCCCCACACACATTAGGAATTGAACCCAGGGACGCTTTACCACTGAGCTACAACCCCAGTCCTTTTAATTAATTWATTTATTTTATTTTATTTTGAGACAGGATCTCCCTAAGTTACTGAAGACCTCGCTAAATAGCTGAGACTGGCCTGGAACTTGTGATCCTCCTGTCTCAGGCTCCCAAGTCTCTGGAATTACAAGTATGTGCCATCACACCCAGCTCCCTTGGGCTTGCTATATGTTCCATCAGAATAGTGACCTAAACATGATTGGAGTGTGGGTCATGGAAATCAGCTGGCATATCTGTTACATAGCAGCCTAGACCACTTGAGGACTTTTTTCTTGGATTTCCTCTTAAAACTGCAGCCTTTCAGGTAACTGAAATTATCTTTCAGGTAAATGGGCAGGTACAAGACACCCAAACATGGGGTATGTTGCCTCAGAATTCCAAGAAGGCAGCCAAATACTATATTTCAACTAATCTAAGATGTCTTCAGTTGTAAAGTACACTACTGATATTCCACTGTGAATAATTTTTTAAAATGCTGTCAATAAAACCATGATATGCCATTGATCGTGGGATACACTGGCATATTAAAACTGGGGGGATGATGACAACCTTATAAATGCACTAAATGCCACTGAATTTTTCACTTTAAARTGGTTAATTTTACATTGTATATATTTCATCTCAATAAATAACTTATGTCCTTTAGAATCAATGATATTTGATTATTCTTCTTTCATATACCTTTCAGAATGTAAAATGAATTAACTTGTGCTTAGAAGGGGACGTGGTGAAATGGCCTAGAACACTGGACCTCCAGAAATATCACTGAGATGTATTTTCATGGGATTTATTCACTTCATTGAATCTGAGATGCTTTGATCCTGGTGCATTTTTTTTGAGAGAGAGAGAATTTTTTAATATTTATTTTTTTAGTTTTCGGCRGATACAACATCTTTATTTGTATGTGGTGCTGAGGATCGAACTCAGCGCCGTGCGCATGCCAGGCGAGCACACTATCGCTTGAGCCACATCCCCAGCCCCAATCCTGGTGCATTCTTGATTTACCAGAAAATGTYAACAGAAAGCTTTCCCAGCTCCCCCACCCCAGTACTTCCTCCTGTTAACTACAATTGTAAGAAGTCACCCACCAGCCTCAGCAGGGGAAGAGGAGACATTTCTTCTGGCAAGAGGGGGCCAAGGGAGGTAGGGTCTGAGCTATCTAAAATGCTTCCTTTTCTGGTCAGTGCTCCAACATTCACATAAGAGACCTGAAATGTGAATTCAGCAGATATTTTACTGTAGCAATTCTCAGTATCAAACGTTGAACTTGATTTCCAGCTATAACCAGCCCCATGACTGCACAAGATAAATTATTTTTGTCATAGATATATAAAGTCAATGTCTGAGATTCATCTTGAGCTGAAGTTTCAGGGTACTGATCTTGTCACTCTTTTCTTCACTTTGTCCAGAATGGTTAAAAGAACCCCTGCTGCCCAGTCTGCAAATTACTTCTGCCTCCCATGGTTCCCCCAAAGCTTTGCCCTCAATGTATCTTTCATTCAGGTGATAATCAATTGCAGGTGATAATCTATTAGTTACAGGCCAAGAGCTGCCTTTAATTGTAGCTGAATTTCCACTGCCCAAACATAAACATCCAACTCATGCCTGTTCTAATACCAGTTTGTATTTCAGTTACAATTGGTAGTTCTTGGTTTTCTAGAAAACAAAAAGCAGTCAAAACTATTCCAAGAAAAATTGGAGAACCAAACTAGAGCAATAACTATAGAAAAACAAAAAAATATTATTAATAGCCAGTCATGGTGGCATATGCCTATAATCCCAGCACTAGGGAGGCTGAGGCAAGATAATAATTTGAGCCCAGTTTTCTTTTTTTCCCCCCACATGTTTTTATTGGTCCATTATAGTTGTACACAATGATGGGATTTGTTGTTATGCATTCATACAGGGACACAATATAACAATATAATTTGGCCAACATCACTCCCAAGACTTCCCTGCCTCCCACCTGTTGATCCCTTTCTTCTACAAATCTTCCTTTGATTTTCATGAGATCTTCCCCAATTTCTTTTCCTCTTTTCTCTCTAGCTTCAAGCCCAGAAGTTTTCAAGACCAAACATAGCAAGATCTCAGCTCAAAAAAAAAAAAAAAAAATGAAGTGATATTAATGAGCTACAATTTTGAAAGGTAATAGGCTGAAAATTATAAATAGGTTAGTTCTATTTGACCTTCAAGCAATACATTATTCCTCATTTATTCAAGTGAACTTTAAAGCATGTAAGAAGTTGAAAATTCCCTCAATTCAACTTTTGAAAAATTTTGCACAATGTCAATACCAAAGCCTAATAAAGAATAGAAAGCCTCTGAAGAATACAGAGTTCTCATCTTATAAAAACTATTTAAGAAAGTCAGAAGATGGAAAGGCATCCAACAAGTATTAACTGACAAGCCTCCTGAAACCAAAGCCAGACAATAACAGCAATATGGGAAAAATATACGATCCTATTTATGAACAATGAAGCAAAAATCCTCAATAAATGTCAACAAAAGACAGGTATGATGGGGCACACTCAAACTCCTAGCTAGTCAGGAAGCTGAGGCAGGAGAATTGCTGAGTCTAAGATCAGCCTGGACAACTTAGTGAGACTGTCTCAAAATAAAATTTTACAAAAAGTTAGGATGTAGCTCAGTGATAGARTGCTTACCTAACATGTTCAAGGCTCTGGATTCAATTCCTAGTGCTGGGAAAAAAAAGAAAAAAAGTTAACATTAAATCCAGCAGTGTGTTAAAAGAATAATTCATCAAATCTAAAGAAGATTTTATCCTAACATTGTTAGGATGGTTCAGCATTAAGATATATATCTATTTAATTTATTATACTAATGAAATCAACATGAAAATATGATTATCTTTTTTGTTTTGTTTTGTTTCTTTTGGTTAGTTACATGTGAGTCACGTCCCCAGCCCTATTTTATTTTTTTAGTTTGAAACAGGGTCTAGCTAAGTTGCTTATTAGGGCCTTGCTAAATTGCTGAAGCTGGCCTTGAACTTGTGATCCTCCTGCCTCAGCCTCCTAAGCCACAGAGACTATAGGCATGTGCTACCACACCCAGCAAAAATACAATTATCTTAATAATTTAAACCCCCATTAATAATATGAAAGGAAGAAAAACTTCCAACAAACTATGAAAAAAAATCTGTAATTTGATATATGTTGTTTAAATAAAACAATGAGGAAAACCCTACTGCAAATGTCATACTTAATGATGAAACATGGAAGCATTCCAGCTGGAGTTAGAAACAAGARTGACCTTTATCACTAYTACTGTTCAAAATGATGCCAGATGTTTTCATTCAAGAAGGAAAGCAGTAAGAGGTATAAACATTAGATAAGAAGAAGCAAATTGTGATTATTTGCAGATGACACTATCGCTTACTTAGAAAAGCCTAAGAAAATCAATTGACAAACTATTAGCACTAATAAGCAAGGTGGCCACATACAAGAGCAGCGTACAAAAATCAATAGCCTTCCTGTATACCGGCAATAACCAACTAGAAAATGAAATGGGAAATAAGATTCTATTCACAATAGCAACAAAAACTATTAAGAATCTAAGAGTAAACCTCTAAATATAGAATTTATTTGATGCCTTTAAGGATAGTTCAATATTAGGAAATCCATCAATCTAATTAATCACATTGATAAAATAAAATGGAAAACTACATTATTAGATTATGTAGAAGCAGAGAAAACACAAGAACCATTTCTGGTGAAAGCACTAAGTAAAAAAGAGACAAAGGACATTTCCTAACTATGATAAAGAGGAGTGTGTGTGTGTGTGTGTGTGTGTGTGTGTGTTTTGTTTTCAGAAACTAAGAGCAAACATCACATTAAATGGAATACTAAAATCCTGCCATTAAATTAAAACATGGCAGAGGCTATTACTATCCTTCAAAACTGTTCTATATAAAAATGAAATAGAGGACTTGACGACAGGAGCAAAACTTCATAGAGCAGGTGCTCTTTCAGGGTCTCCCAAAGTCAAAAATGTTTCTCCCCCATAAACAAGACTACCGTGATTTTATATTACAGAATAAGATAGAAACTGAAATCTCACCCAGAGACAGAGGCTCATCGAAAGCATCTTTTTCCCCATCAAAGCTGTTACCAAGTACTGTCCAGATATCACTCACTTTGCACCTACCCTCTGATTAAAGGGAAGATTTTTTAATTGCCCAAACAGCCATTTTTGTTCACGTGGCAATGGGGTCTGTCACAGAGGGGTGCCTGAAATGCAGCCAAGCATCTGTGGGCACAAACAGCTGCCAAACCAGTGGGGGTGGGATTTGGACACCTTCTATTCCTTTCTCTTGCTCAGAAGTTGTAGGCACATTTGAAATGCTATAGCTTCTATTYTGTTTTGGAAACTGTGGGTTGGGTTTATTCTTACTTTTCAATCAGCTTCCACGATGGATTCTAAAAGGAATTGGTTGGCAAACAGGACTTTTAGGTCAGGGGTAAAGTAACACGCACGCCTGAAGTTACACACATGCCCCCCCATCTCTAGGAGAGGGTACACATACTTTAAGCAAAAGGCCARAAAAGTCAGAGATGAAATGGGGGTTGTTTCCCTCTCAAGCAAACAGACCATGAGCTGACTTCCTTGGGAAGCAGAGTCCTGAACATAGATCAGCCCAGAGGATGTACTCTTGAGATTGATACCCATGGAGAGAAAGGGAGAAAACAGGATTGGGCAAAGGGAGAAATCTGAACATGATGAAATCCCCACAGAGCCTCAGTTAACCAGAAGGGTGGATGGCCCTTCAGAGTTGTCCCCTAATGAGGTCTTAATTTTCTTATGTCAATCATTGTCATGGTTTGGATCTAAAATGTCCTTCAAAGGCCACGTATGGAAGGCTTGGCATGGCCACCAGCCTGTGGCACTACTGGGAGATGATGGAAACTTCAGGAGGTGGGGCCTAATTGGAGGAAACAGGTCACTGGAGGCTTGTCCTTGAGGGGTATATCTTGTCCCCAGCCTCATAMCTCATATTCTCTCTCTCTCTCTCTCATTCCTGGTAGCCATGAGGTAAGAAGCCTGGCTCTACCACTC